CAACACGCTCGTTTTTTTCCGCGAAGCTCTAGCTCGATCAGGGGCCAAACGGCAAGGGGGGGGTCCAACCGACCCCCCCCCACACACACATTAGAAGCTGGCAAACGCCGCACACATGCGAGGGTTAAGCCAGTGCGGTCAGAAATCCCCATGTGCTGGCACACTCTAGTAGTGAGGCGTACATGAGTGGACCCAATGTACGACTCCCCACACGAGGAGCAACAAAACTGGTATACAACACCAGAGCGGCAAGCTTTGGGAACCCTGTCTTTGAAGTGGAAGATAGAACCGATGGTGAAGGTGTTTCTTAGAATCACCTTGGGGTCAAGATAGGGATAAAAGGACGTCAGTAAAGTTATGAGGTCTTTTCGCAGGCTAAGGGATTGTGCACCAAAGTAAGGTAGTACTAGGTACTTCTTCAGCTTGGGCACGATGACTTCGCTCGATATTGCTGCATATTGTCTGTCAAGGAACTTTCTAACATGAAAATCAAACATCTTTGTTGGAAAGCCATTGTTTTGAAAGAACTTTCGTAGGAACTTGAGTTCGCTGTCAAACAGTTTAAAATCAGAGCAGAGCCGGAATGCCCTGAAAATGGCAGATTGCATGACAGCCTTCTTAACAGTCTGAGGGATGAAAGTAAAAAAACTCAAACTCAGACCCGTAAAGGAGGGTTTCCTATAAACTGATGTAACCAGTCTTTCTCCCGCTTTTTGGACTTGCACATCTAAAAAAGGAAGGGATCCGTTCTTTTCTACCTCTTTTGTAAACCGTATCTTTGGGTGACGGCCATTCAAGAAATCCAGAAACTTGTCTACTTTGGACTGGTCGTCAAAAATAAGGAAACAGTCATCTACATACCTCCGGAAATACTTTGGGCGAAACTCATTTGGGCAGTCATTGAGCCAGTTCACCTCATGGAAACAAAGAAAAATATTTGCAAAGGTAGGGCCGAGAGGGAGACCCATGCCCACCCCATCTTCCTGTTTGTAGAGCACATTATTAAATAAGAAGTACGAGTTTAGTACGGCTAACTCTAGCAACGTTCGAAAAACATTCTTCGTGATGCCCCCTACAGTTACTGCGCTATGAAAGAGAGAGCGAATGCTAATGTCTATAGTTTCTTTCACAGGTATGTTAGTGAAAAGACTTTCAATGTCAAAACTCGCCATGACCGTAGAGGAATCTACTTTAAGTCCTTTGAGTTCGTTAGCGAACTCATAGCTGTTCTTAATCGTGTACTGGTTTTCGGTCAGAGGTGAGAGGATAGGTACCAAATATTTAGCTAGTTTGTACGTGGCCGTTCCGCAAGCCGCGAAAATTGGGCGCAGTGGTACGCGCAGCTTATGAATCTTAGGAAGGCCATACAGAATACCTGGAGAAGAACCTGAAGCATGTAGGTCAGTATACACATCAGAAGAAATAGTATTTGACTTCTTAAGGCTACGAAGGACTCTATTCACTTTGTCCTCTACTTGAAGCAACACCTTGTGTAACGGTTGTGTTATGACAGAGAACTTGGAACGATCAGACAAAATATCACCCATTTTTGCTTGTGTGGAAGCTCAACTTCTACAACTACTTCCTCTGCTTCGAGAAGTTGATTCGTTCGATTTCATCTCTGCATTTATCACCACGGTACTCTTTTCAAGACGTGAAACAGCGAATCCGTACTATTGCCTACAACTACTATCATGGATTCAAGCCCTCCAAGGTATTTTCTGCAGTGTTTTCCAAAAAAGACATTCAACTGCTAAAGGAGTTCGCATCAGATGAATCGATTGTGGTGACCAGACCTGGTAAAGGTAAAGGTGTCGTCATACTGGATAGGGGTGACTATCAAGCAAAAATGGGTGATATTTTGTCTGATCGTTCCAAGTTCTCTGTCATAACACAACCGTTACACAAGGTGTTGCTTCAAGTAGAGGACAAAGTGAATAGAGTCCTTCGTAGCCTTAAGAAGTCAAATACTATTTCTTCTGATGTGTATACTGACCTACATGCTTCAGGTTCTTCTCCAGGTATTCTGTATGGCCTTCCTAAGATTCATAAGCTGCGCGTACCACTGCGCCCAATTTTCGCGGCTTGCGGAACGGCCACGTACAAACTAGCTAAATATTTGGTAGGGGAGAGTGGGGCTAGCTGTTACAGGGGTAAGTTGTTACAAAGGAAATATCTTTAAAAATACTCTTGATATGGCGCCAATATTTACGCTAGCAGAAAGGTTACGCACATTTTACATGTCACAGCAGGCTCAGACCTGGTGGAACGCCATGTCGCCCTGTAGGCGCACTGGGGTAAGTTGTGACAGCAAAAGTATTTTTTGCTGGCCAACACTTTGGGTCGTTTTTTGTCAAGGTTATTTGTGTAAGAATGTTGAATGTATGTTCACAAAATTAAGCGATGATTTCTTTTGTAAGATCACCAAGTAAAACGCACTAGCCTCTTCATGTAAACAAACATTTGAGTTCAGTCTTGAGAAAGTCGGCCGCCGCAGGGCCGGGGCATGTTTAAAGATGGCTACCCAAGACTGCTTATAGCGTGCTCCATTTCACCTGGGCGTAAATTTTGTGCAGAAAATCAAACTCCGGTCAGTATGGCAATGCATGGTGCCCTTGGCGTCGCAGTAAAGGCAAATCAGAGATTGAGCCATGTTTGATGAGCCGTTTCATGCGTGTGGAGTACAGTAATGGTTTATGCTTTATTGTTCTTGCCTTTCAATGAGAAAGGAAAGCATGTTTAGTATTATCCATTAGGGAGGCTTACGATCGGTTCCGATAGGACGGGCAATGACCGCTATAATGATGAAGAAACTACGAAAAAAGAAGTGTAACATGTTACCCCATATCGTGTATCAAGTTGCCCCACAATTTTTTAACTTGCCCCAAAAATCTTGCTTTGGTTTTCTGAATTTCACATAAAAGTGAATAGTCGTAAAGAAGTGAAAGTTTGCATGTGCTTTCCAAATTGATTCAGCTAGCATGTGACCAAATTTGGTGCAATTTCATTGAATAGCTTGGCCACTAAGTGCAGAAGACCAAAAAGTGTAACGCATCGCCCCAGTCTCCCCTACCTATCCTCTCACCTCTGACCGAAAACCAGTACACGATTAAGAACAGCTATGAGTTCGCTAACGAACTCAAAGGATTTAAAGTAGATTCCTCTACGGTCATGGCGAGTTTTGACATTGAAAGTCTTTTCACTAACATACCTGTGAAAGAAACTATAGACATTAGCATTCGCTCTCTCTTTCATAGCGCATGTAGGGGGCATCACGAAGAATGTTTTTCGAACGTTGCTAGAGTTAGCCGTACTAAACTCGTACTTCTTATTTAATAATGTGCTCTACAAACAGGAAGATGGGGTGGGCATGGGTCTCCCTCTCGGCCCTACCTTTGCAAATATTTTTCTTTGTTTCCATGAGGTGAACTGGCTCAATGACTGCCCAAATGAGTTTCCCCAAAGTATTTCCGGAGGTATGTAGATATAGTTCGTTTTTCTTAAGTTTGCCCCTCACTGTAAACGTCTCTTTGAACACAGCACGAGAATTGCTAGCTGAATTACTGAGAAAACTGGTTAGCGCACATTGTATTGTAGATATGAATAATATTTTCAAAAATAAGTTTTGAACACCGACGATTTGACGTTATGTTAAGCGCCGTGCAATTTATTTATTAGTTCAGACATAATTCCTGAGGAATCGTCTATCCCTGTGGGCCTGTAGGTATTGGCAAATACGATTTACGAGTCTGTGAAATAGTAAATAAATTTGATGAAATTGATCGTCTGTGAAATCTTGTCAAATCAGTGTGCGCCAACCAGTTTTCTCAGTAATTCAGCTAGCAATTCTCGTGCTATGTTCAAAAAGACGTTTACAGTGAGGGGCAAACTTAAGAAAAACGAACTATAACTGTTTCCTTATTTTTGACGACCAGTCCAAAGTAGACAAGTTTCTGGATTTCTTGAATGGCCGTCACCCAAAGATACGGTTTACAAAAGAGGTAGAAAAGAACGGATCCCTTCCTTTTTTAGATGTGCAAGTCCAAAAAGCGGGAGAACGACTGGTTACATCAGTTTATAGGAAACCCTCCTTTACGGGTCTGGGTTTGAGTTTTTTTACTTTCATCCCTCAGACTGTTAAGAAGGCTGTCATGCAATCTGCCATTTTCAGGGCATTCCGGCTCTGCTCTGATTTTAAACTGTTTGACAGCGAACTCAAGTTCCTACGAAAGTTCTTTCAAAACAATGGCTTTCCAACAAAGATGTTTGATTTTCATGTTAGAAAGTTCCTTGACAGACAATATGCAGCAATATCGAGCGAAGTCATCGTGCCCAAGCTGGAGAAGTACCTAGTACTACCTTACTTTGGTGCACAATCCCTTAGCCTGCGAAAAGACCTCATAACTTTACTGACGTCCTTTTATCCCTATCTTGACCCCAAGGTGATTCTAAGAAACACCTTCACCATCGGTTCTATCTTCCACTTCAAAGACAGGGTTCCCAAAGCTTGCCGCTCTGGTGTTGTATACCAGTTTTGTTGCTCCTCGTGTGGGGAGTCGTACATTGGGTCCACTCATGTACGCCTCACTACTAGAGTGTGCCAGCACATGGGGATTTCTGACCGCACTGGCTTAATGGTATTTAGCCCAAAGCCCTCTTCAGTTAAAGACCACTCTGATGAGTGTGGCACCGCCTTCTCAATTAACGAGCACTCGGGTCTGCTTTTTACCAGTATGGCGAAAAGACCCTCGCTCACAGCTTCCGTGCGGCCATCCGGGACCTGGCCAAGCGATGGGAACGATGCGTTCGCCTGCAGGGCGAGTTCGTCGAGCCGTGAGCCATGTTTGGTTGAGATGTGCCAAAAAATAAACGAGTTATATCAAAACGGAACTTACTTATTGAACATACTGGTATAAGTGACGCTTCATACAACAGAGGCGTCCAAATATAACTGTCATGCGTATTGTGTAGCACGAATTAGTGTACTTGTTTCTTGTATTAGTGTCTCGAATGCATACCTATATTACGAACGACTGAATGATTGCGATGTATTTGTATGTTTTTTTTTTTGTATTATTACTCACTGATGATCATCATCATCATCATCATCATGTATTCGTATGGCATCCGTTAAAACACGGCTTTTCAGCACAAGAGTCATTCCATATATGCACTGTCCTTAAGGCTAATGATCTAAAAACCTACTAAAATACTACGAATAAGCCATTTATACTCATTTTCTAAGAGATGCTGTTAAAATCCAAGTTACCTACAAGCGTATTTTAAAATAAGCGGCGGATGAGATCTATTCTATCTGGGTAAGACTAGCTCGACATTTCCGCATCCCCGCGCGGAACGCTACGACCGTGCTGGCGTGGCGAACCTCGTTCGGCGTCTCGTTCCAGCTCGCTGTTGCCCGAAACCCGAAAGAACGTCTGGCGAGCTCCGTGCGGACCCGCGGAAGTTGCAGCATTCCCGCCATTGATCCTCGCGTTTCCCTCTCGGTTACACAATCGCGACGCTGCAGCAGGTCTCGCAAGTGCGATGGTGCATGGACAGAGTTGAGGAGGCGGTGCACCATGGCGAGGTCACGTTCTGTGATGAGTCGCTCTACTCTCGGCCACTCAAGTTCAGTAAGGTGAGGCGTGATATGCTGATGACGTCGGCAGCATTTAACTATTCGTGCACCATGATTAATTATTTTTTGAACGCGTTTTCGCTGTGTAGCGTTGCATGCTGCCCACACTGTCGCGCAATACATTATGTGTGGGAACACCAGGGCCTCAATAATCAATTTCTTGACTTCCTGTGGCAGCCGACGGGAGAATTTGGAGAGACCTATCAGAATAGTATAAGAACGTTTTACTATATTCGAAATATGTTTTTCAAACGTGAGGTTTTCATCCAAAATAAGCCCAAGAATTTTAGCGTTTGAAGTGGGGCGGAGCATTGTTTCTCCAAATTGAACTTTCAGCTCATTTCCTATTCTTCTTTGACGTGTGGAGAATAGAACGATCTCTGTCTTTTTGGGATTAATTTTTAGTGAATTTTCTGTAAACCACCGCTGAGCGTCGCTCAGCGTTTGTCCAATTTCAAGCTCCAACTGATGAATATGCTTGGGGTGACCACTGTGAATGAATTGAACGTCATCAGCATATAAAACCATCTTAGTGTCACTTAAAAATGATGTCAGGTCATTTGTGAATAACAAAAACAGCACTGGCCCCAAAATCGATCCTTGGACCACGCCATGCGTTATTGGAGCGGTCTCCGCAGATCCCCCGCGTACTCTCTGGTGGCGGCCTCTGAGCCAGTCACTGAACCAATGAGTGTCCACGCCGTACCAGCCAAGTTTGTCCAGGAGCCGGCCGTGCTGAACGCTATCAAAAGCCTTGGAGGTGTCGATCGCTGTCAGACAACCGATCTTACCCTCGTCTATGACTCGAGTGATGTAGCTGACCGCGTCCAACATCGCCGACTCCGTGGACCTCCCCGGCCGAAAGCCATGCTGCTCCTCACACAGCACACCGTGGGACAACAGGTAATGCAATAGTTGATCACAAACGACTCTCTCAGTGAGCTTCGCCACAGTAGAAATGATCGACACTGGCCTGTAATTGTTAACATCACTTGTGCATCCCGCCTTGTGGATTGGGACCACAGTTGCGACTTTCCACTCGCTCGGGAGCTCTCCAGTAACGATTGAGGCATTTATCACGTTTAACAAATGCGGAGCTATCACCGGAAAGGTTAGTCGCAACATGCTCACTGTGATCCCATCCTCACCGCACGCATTCGATGATGACAAGCGCTGCAGTGCCGAGTGAAGCTCGGGCAGAGTGACTGGATGCACCCTAAATGTCCCGCTCACCACACGAGAGGGACAGGGTGGCAGCGGTGGTGCAGTCGCTCTTTGGGCCACGAGTTCAGCAGACACGCGGGAGCCCACCGCGGCAAAGTGACGATTTAATCGGTCAGCCCACTCCACCGTGCCCCCCGGCGGCTCACAGCCTCCTCTAACACTCTTTGGTCGTATTAAAAACCGCTGAAGGTCCCTCCATGTCGTTTTACGCGAATAAGTGTACGAAGATAAAAAGAATGATGACCTAGCCCGACACAGTGCACTTTTCACCGCGTTTCGTTTGGCCACATATGCCTGGCGAGTCTCTGAGCACGGATCAGCGTCACGATCAGCTCGTGCCACGTCACGTTCCCTCATCATTTCACGCAATTCCTCATTTTCAGTGAGCCACGGCGCCGGCTTGATGATGGTGTTAATACACCGAAACCGGTCTGATCATAAGGAATTTTATATACTACGCTATCTCTGTTTGACTCTCTTTTGTTTCGCTTGAAAATTCCGCCTATTTTCTGTCCTCCTTTTGCAACAATGGACAGGGCCGGGCTCACCAGCTTTTAAGTAAGCCCACTAGTAGGAATGACCTCATACATTATTTCTCGGGACACAGTCAGAGGGTAAAGTCCGGGGTCGTTATCGGCTTCTTCTTGCGCGCCCTTCGAATTTGCTCACAAGGCCTGCTACAGGAAGAAATTGATTACATAACCAGTACATTCTTACAGCTGAAATACCCTTTGGCCAAACTCATCCCTCAGGGACAAAGCTAAACGGATTTGGTCTCAATCTAACACTAGGGTAGCTGACATATCTGAAAGGCACGCGCAGTAAACACTGTCGGTGATAGCCCCTTATTCCCCTTTTACTGAACAGGTACAAAAGCTGGTGGGCCCGGCCCTGTCCACTCCGGAGCGACAAAAGAACTCGCTCACAACTTTATAATAAAATCGCCTATGGTAGGTAAGGTGCAAAACAGCCGATTTTTGTTTCTTTTTGACGTGGAATCAAGATGACTGAACTGGACATGTGTGAACAGTCTGTCTATGCTGCACATACCAGTATTCTATCCCATTTGTTTGGTTTTCAATGGTTTCTGTAGGCCCTTCCATAACTACCCAGTCCTGAACCCATTCCTTCTATTCTTTTTCAGAATTGCTCGCGATATCTGGCCAAACACCCCCGCCGACTGCCGCGGACCCTGCGGGGCCACCGCTGCAGCCTGCGCCACAGCCCGCTAACATTGCTGAGGGTGGGACTAACACACAGGTAGGGGCTCAGCCGCGGGACCCCGCGGCGGCTAGGCGGGCACGTGACCGTGAGCGTCGGAGACTGGCCCGGGAACGGGAAACTGCAGCTGAGCGACTTAATCGCCAGCAGCGGGACCGTGAGCGCAAGGCTGCGGCACGTGCTAGGAAGAGGGCTGATGCCAATGGCGCCGGCCCTTCCAATGGTTGGCAGGTTGATACGTCCGTCGCCGGGCCTTCCACGGCCCCGGCGCCGACCAGATCCGCCGAGGAGGTCGCGGCAGCCAGACGTGAGCGTAACCGGCAGCGTCAGCGTCGTAGGAGGGAGCGGGAGACAGAGGCTGAGCGCAGTGAGCGGCGGAGACGTCAGCGTGAGCACATTGCATTGGTCCGCTCTGCGCGTGCTGGTGACGCCGCTGATTGCCGGTGGGGCGCGCCGCCTTGACCTGGCCGGACGCTCAGCCGCGAGCTCTGTGCGGGTGCGTGCGTCCATGGCAGAGTGAGCGGAGCACGGCCGAGCGCGCGGGCGGCGGCAGTGATCAGTGAACGCCGCTGATAAGCCTGGACACAAAAGGCGGTGATGTGACAGGTGTAATGTGCTACGAAACGGTACCAAATCGCTCAGCTCAGTTCAGAATTGCGAGAATTGAATTCAGAGAGCGGTGAAGACCCAACGCTCACGGACTGCCAGGCGTCTGGGTCTGAGAGCGCCAGTGGTACTGTGATGCTAGGCGTCTGGGTCTGAGAGCGCCAGTGGTACTGTGATGCCAGGCGTCTGGCTCTGAGAGCGAGCGCCAGTGGTACTGTGATGCCAGGCGTCTGGGTCTGAGAGCGCCAGTGGTACTGTGATGCCAGGCGTCTGGGCCTGAAAGCGCCAGTGGTACTGTGATGCCAGGCGTCTGGGCCTGAAAGCGCCAGTGGTACTGTGATGCCCCCACGGGGTCTGGAAGCGGTGGATGTGATTTAAAAAAATGAGTTGAATAATTATGTTTGTTTTTGTTTTTGTTTTTTGCTTGTCGGAGGTGACGGTGTTGTTATGGTCTCTGTCCGTTGTAATCCGTCCTTTTGAGTGACTTCAGGTACAGGGTGACACAAAAAAAGCGGTCATCACCAAAATTCGAATAACTTCGGAAGTTTTATTCAGATCATCACCAAACTTTTCAATCATTTCAATCACCAAACATTTCAATCATTCATATAAATGCACGTTCCATGGTAAACAAGCTGGATGAAATTGAAACATTTTTGGCACAATTAGAACAAAAATGGCATTTGTATGCATATCAGAAACCTGGCTTAATCCAAAAATAGAAAATAAGTTTGGCTTAGGGGATGAATATATGGCTTTCTACAAAAGTAGAGAAATTAAAGTAGGAGGGGGGATCAGCAATTTTTGCATATGACAAATATTTCACTGGAATACAAAAGATAAATATACATGAGTTTAAAACAGCTGAAGTAGTTACACTACAGATCAAGAATGGAAACAAACCACCTTTCCTTGTTTGTCAAATGTACCGACCCCCTGAGAATGAATGGGAATTTCTAAATGAAATGGAACAATTTCTTGCCACCTTAACCTCACTTAATATGCTTGCATTCATTACAGGTGATTTCAATTTTGATTTATTTTCTATTAAAAATAATTCTGCTAATGAATCATTTTTTACATTAATGTGTAGTTATGGATTTTTGCCAACCATCTCCAAAGCTACCCGAATTACCCCAACCTCGGGTACTCTTATTGATAATATCTTTACAAATGACTTGTCCAAAGTGGTAGTACCAGGAATCATTTTAACAAACCTTTCAGACCATCTTGTAATCTTTGCAACTGTAAACATTGAAAATAAGAGATTGGAAAAGAAAAAACATAAAGGAAAAACACTGAGAAAAAAATTGACTCCATATGGGTCAAAACTCTTGAAAATGCTATCCTGATAACTCCTGAAAACCATCGATAACACCCTTTACAGCAGAGTTATTGAGTGTGTTCTAGGGTAACTTTGAGCCTTCCTCATTTTGCGAAAGAGATTAAATTAATTTATTTCTTAATGGATGGCGAAATGACTCCATGTGTGACACCCCATAGCTCTGTGGCGCAACTCTCCATTACTCCCGAAAAACCTTTCCCGAACGTTCCGACAGGAGTAAAAGGGGAGTTACGAAGCGGTTTTAGCATACGTCGCGAGGCTGCCGGTGGCCGCCATCTTTTGCGCGTAGTATGTACAGCACGTTGTGCGGGGCGGCGGGCGAGGTGTTAGTGAAGAGCGTGTTGACTCAGACGGACCTGACCTCTACAGTGACGGATAATTGGACCTTACTTTGGATTTAAAGGTAAGCTTAGCTATATTTCTCATCATGCTTTTATAGTGCAAAGTGTTATAATGCTGTGATGAGAACATATGGTAACCCCATGTTCTTGATGGGCTGGAATGGTCTTTGTAAGGGTAATCGATTTGTTTCGTTCCTGAGTGAGATAAAGATCGGAAAAAGCATGCTCTGAGTTTCTAGGAATTGGCAAATATCATACATAATTTCCCTCGACATGTCAGGTCGCGTGTGTCTCGTCTCGTTCGCCTACCTCTCAGTCTCCTCCCTCATTTCTTCCTTCCATCTTTCCTCGCTTCCTTCCTCACTCCCTCCTTCCCCTCCCCTTTCTCCCTTTCTTTCTCCCTCTCTCCCTCCCTCCCTCCCTCCCTTCCTTCCTTCCTTCCTTCCTTCCTTCCTTCCTTCCTTCCTTCCTTCCTTCCTTCCTTCCTTCCTTCCTTCCCTCCTTCTCTTTTTTCTTTCTCCTCTATTTCCTTCCACGCAATGTTAAGTGTACCTATAATTTCATGGTTATTAACATTTTGCAGGGGATGAGCTGGAGAGCCTGCATCGCATCCCGCAAGACACGTCGGAAGCCAACGGAGGCCCGCAAAATATCCATCCCACCATCGTGAAAGGAGAGCCGGACAAAGAAGACGCAGTATTCGTCGAGGCCCAGGAGGTGGTAGCGGCACCACCAGACCAAGCATTCCTGCTGTGGTAGGCTGCCTTTTGGATCTTTAACGTCAGAACTCGCGACCGTGTAGCATATGGAGTGAGATCCCCGGAGAGCGTGCCGCGGCGGAATGTTGAAAGCGTTTAACAGTATTTGACTACAACAAAATTGAAACCCTCAGGGGCCAACTAGTACAGAGTCTTGATGGACTCACTGCTCAAACAGATCCAGAACTGGCATGCATACAAATAATACAGGCATACAAGGATGGTATTGCTTCGTGCTCGAAAAACATAGCAAGCTCGAGAAAAAATAACTTCATAAAACCATGGATGACTCCAGCAATTCTCTGTTCCATTAATCATAAAAACAAATTGTTTGTTAACAAACTTAAAAATCCCAGTATGTACAACATAGCACAATACAACAAATATCGTAACTGTCTCAATAGGGCAATCGCCAATTCAAAGAAGGCCTACTATGAAGCGGAATTCCAAAAAAATAATAGGAACCCCAAAAAGACGTGGGAAACACTAAATGAACTCCTAAAACAAAAAAGCAAATATGATATTTTACCTGAAACACTTAACAATACTGATAATAATGAACCTGAAAAAATGTCAATGGCTGAAAATTTCAACAAATTTTTCACAGGAATTGGTGAAAAATTGAAACAGAATATTCCATGTAATAACAAAAATCCTTTAGAAAATGTGCAAGAGGCAGAAGGAGAGTTTTCAAACTTCTGCAATGTCACTGATGACAAAGTAGAACAAATAATTAAACAGCTTAAAGATGTTGGCGCTGGAGTCGACGGGATCAATTCAAAAATATTAAAACATACTTACAAACCTATTCTTTCAAAGCTTACCTATTTCTTTAATCTATGCCTTTCAACAGGAATCTTCCCAAACCCATTGAAAATAGCATCTGTGAAGCCAATCTACAAAAATGGAGATCAAAATAACTTGTCAAATTATAGACCAATTAGCATATTGCCAGTGATTTCAAAAATATTAGAGAAACTGATCCACTACCAATTGACAGAGTTTGCAACAAACAGATGCATTCTCTCAGAAAACCAATTCGGATTTAGGAAAAACAACTCTACATACATGCCTATCATGCTTATACAACGATAGGCGTTATCACAAGTGTATTCGCGGCCATTGGGGCGACGTAAGAAAAGAAGAAAACAACTGACCCCAAGAACTTTAAATTATCAAATAGCATGCACCTTTTCCTTGACATGTAGAGAATTTACCATTAATTGTTAGAGAAAATTGCATTTAAAATCTTCCATTTATGCTTCTTTCATCGTTTGCACAGTATGTTCTTTTACTAAGCTAGAAACACTTATTAGAAATAGTTCCCGCATCATCAAGAACAATAGGGAAGGCTTGAAGTGAATACAATAATCTAAACGGTTTTGTAATCCATGCGAAGACACTTCTAAAATTGCCAGTAGAAATATTAAAGGCAAAAGTTCAACTTTTTCACAAGACGGATGGCTATTAACCTATTCAACGTGTGACAACTCAGCCGGTATATCGTCGCCTACAGCCCAGCTTTCCCTAGTGACCGATAGAGGCGCTGCTATCGATGTCCGCCCGTGCCGCCTAACGAGATTATATAACTGAAGCACTGGAAAAAAAATGACATTGTAACGGGCATCTTTCTTGACCTTTCAAAAGCCTTTGACACGGTAGATCACAAAATACTACTAGAGAAATTAAACAAAATGGGTTTTCGAGGACATGTTCTAAAAACAATTAAATCATATCTAACGAACAGATTCCAAGTGGTGCAGATAGAAGGGGTTAAGTCAACAGAACGAGAAATAAAAATAGGCGTACCTCAGGGGTCAATCCTTGGACCACTTCTTTTTATTTTATATTTAAATGATATAGTAAATTTACAATTTGAAGGTCGATTTATGCTCTATGCAGATGACACTGCAATATTCTTCAAACATAAAAACATAGAAACACTGCAAGAAATAACCAATGAAGCGCTGGTAAAAGTATCAGAATGGTTTGAAGCTAATTATCTTACAGTGAATACATCAAAAACATTTCTCCAAGTGTATTCAAAACGCAGGTGTACCGAAAAGCTGAATATATACATTAAAGACGCTGCTTTAATAGAAAAGAAATCAGTGAAATATTTAGGAATTCTAATTGACTCTGACCTCAAATTCACAACCCATATCAGTAGCATTTGTAATACTATTAGCAGAAATATTGGAATGATTGCAAGAGTTAAACGATTTATCCCAAAACAGCAGCTCATTCAACTGTATCACTCCCTCATTTTTCCTTACATCAACTACTGCTGCTTTATTTGGGGCTCTAACTATGATGAACATCTTCAAAAAACTGGTAATCCTGCAAAAAAGGTTCATGAGGCTCATTGAGGGTATTTTCCCACCACAAAGTGCTACCCCAATATTTAAAAAATATAATATTCTAAAAATTAAAGACATAGCCAAACTTCAAATAATACTTATCATGCATAAGTACATAGTACATGAATTGCCAGTGTCTGTAGGGCGATTGCTTCAACTCTCAACTGAACCTATCCATCATACAAGGAATATCCACCATTTTCAACCTGTCTTCTCAGCAAAAAACTACAGGCTCTACTCCTTTGCCTGCATGGGACCCAAACTTTGGAATGATGTAATCGCAAAAGATATTCTGTTAGAAGAAATACCACAATCAAAGATCACTTTCAAAAAATATGTAAAGAATATCTTGCTTAGTGTATACTAAGCAAAAGTAGTGGGAAAATAGCAAAGTTATTAACAAAACTAGTAGATAAGCATCCTTGGGTATAAAGGACCCACTAAATGCTTTCAACAGGCTTAGAAAAAAATATGAAAGCATATTAATTTTGTAAGCAATCTTTGTAATGAAAGGTGAAGATACAAACAATATTGATATAAATAGGAAATGAGAGCAAATGACAATGCGTACATGAATAACAATTAACAAATTACATATGCATAGTACTTTTCACAGGCATTGTTCAGCACCTCAACAGGTGGCCCAATAATGGATGTACCAATAGGTACATTTATTATCGGGAAGCTGCAAATGCCGGCTACAATAATTTGTGTTGACTGTTTTGTGTGCAACCTGTGTCATCTTCAACACAAAAGATACATCCCCACTCAATTGGAACGCCGGACTTGACGGGGCCCACCGGCAACAAGCTATGCTTAGCTGGTGGGCCCCAGAAAGTCTGACTATGAACTCGAGCTCGAATTGACCAGAAATGTTTCCCCACTGCCATTCTGCTGTTTTCCCTATGAGTGAATGTTTAAATACCATCTACTAACCAATTATGCATGGTTGTATGAATGACAATTCTTTCGTAGATGCATTTGGACAGTCATTCGCTGCATTCAGCAATGACTACTTTTGCTCTCTTTTATCATTAACCTGTTGCCCGCACTTCGTTTGCTTGATTTTGTTTCCTACTTTTCCTAGCTGGGAGTGCCGCGACTTATCCTTTATTTTTGTCTGGTGTTAACGTAAGGTGCTGTGAGTCGCTGGGCTGAGGGTGGGGGCACTCCTGGTCACCTATTAATGGGTGGCGGAGTAGTTCGAAAAAAAAACTTCGGCCACTTTAGGTCACACCTATGTAGCAGACATCCACCAAGTTTCAAGTCTTCACTACGAATGCTTTTAGTACAGTGTGTGTTTTACGGACGCTCCACTATGTGCTCCAGGTGAGCGCCCCGGCGCTGCAGGGCGTAGGCACACCTGCATCCGGCGGGCAAAGTTGCCGATAACCCGATAAGAATAACGTTTCAGGGGTAGCACACCCCCTGAGCACTGTCTCCAGAGGCCATTGCACTCTGTAAAGTGCACAGCCATCGGGTTATCGACAACTTTGCCCGCCGGATGCAAGTGTGCCTACGCCCTGCAGCGCCGTGGCGCTCACCTGGAGCACATTGTGGAGCGTCAGTAAAACACACACTGTATTAAAAGTATTCGTAGTGAAGACTTGAAACTTGGTGGATGTATGCTACATAGGTGTGACCTTAAGTGGCCGAAGTTTGGTGATGATCTGAATAAAACTTCCGAAGTTATTCGAAATTTGGTGATGACCGTTTTTTTTTTGTGTCACCCTGTAAGTGCTGCCGGAAGGTGTTCAACAAGTTGTCGTCCAGCCAACTGATGCTCTTGCCGTTTGTTCCGGAGGTGTTGCTGAAGTCGTTAGTGTAGGTACACCCGTCTCTGGTCGATGACTCATCCGCTGCTTTTAACCCTAAACTGAGAAACACTAAAGCCTATCCATGGTTCTCGGAGACCATGCAGGGGTCGTCCTGGTCTTGTATGAGAGCCTAAATTGGGGAGAATTTTATTTACGGTTGCTGGTCTCCAGTTCGGTAAAGTTCTTTGGTCCTTTCCGTAACGCTCTCGAGTGAGAATGCCTGGTGGATTCTCTCATATTATGACCCTGCATGATCTCTTAGAACCTTACAACTTTAGAGCACCGGATTTTCTGGCACGGAATTCGCGTTCACGACCCATTCCCCCTCCCTTGCTTCTAGAGCGCCGCCTTTTTTGGCACGGCATTCGCGTTCACGAAACTTTTCCATTCCCTTTACAAACAAGGTTAAGAACAGACATGTATATTTATTGTGTCAGATGACTCCCAAAACGTGGTCAGTCTGGTCCAGTACAGATAGTCTTCGATGCGAACATTTTGTTTCAAACCCCGTCAAAACCTTTCGCTCGCCGCCCCACCCTGCTACGACTGGCGGGCGGAGTTTCAACTGAGTCGTTTGGCAAGGGACCAATATCCTCCCGGCGCACGACAGCTCAGTCCCGTAGGTACCTACTTTTAACACGAAATGTAGGTAGTGCTAGAATGCATGTCACGCGGCGCTCCCCACGGCACACAGACTGTGCGAACAATGTACAGCTCAAACACGGTTAAGTACAGGGCAGGCACGTACAATAGTTACACAGGCACAGACATTGAAAAGTTAATACAGCTAAAATGTCTGGTTTGCATTTTGCAAACCATGTGAGCACTGCTGACGGGAGTCCATTCGAGACAGAAGTCTAGCCATAGGAGCGGCGGAGGCGACGGCAGCCGGATGGCCGCTCTCGACGGTCTGCGCAGCTGGCAGCTGCATCTGGCTGGCGAGGAGCTGCTCCAGCATGGCGGCCAGGCGCTCCTCTCGCTGCGCGGCCTGCTCAGACTGCTGAACCCTGAGCACCGTCAGACGCTCCAGCCGCTCGCCGACTCCCAGCACTGGTGCGGGCGACCCGACGCGGCGATATTAACCTCGGTCTGTCTCGGAATCGGTGTCGCACACAGGGTCAGTCACACTCGCGCTCACTGGTCTCGCATGCAACCGATTACACCACCGCGCCGACCGCGCCATGTTCTACTTCACTGTGCCCGGACCGTCTCGGCGAACACGCCTCGCTTCGCGGCACTCAGCTGTGACTCAGCTGTGCTGACACCAGCGCCGCTCGGACCACGGTATGAAGAATACTAGGTAACACCGGTTTGTCCGCTCAACACAGGGCCAATGGTCACCACTTTCTTCAGCTGATCTATGTGACCTTGAGCTGACCTAGGGTGATAAGCAGCTGACAATTTAGGCCATTTGGAGCTCACTTGACAGCTAAAGAGCGTGATTTAAAATATGAATATTTGACAGAAGCTTACAAAAGATGTTATTCACCAGTCATTTTTTAAGCAAATTCTGTCATAAATTAGCTGACTCCCTCTGGTCTTTCACACGGCAGAAAATGCAAGTCAAAATTATGAAGTCTGGAAGTAAACCAAACGCCTTAGATACACACGGTCGTTTCTCTCAGCTAGCACAACGGAAACTGCGAGAAAACAAGAGAGAGTCGGACTCTACAAATCAATGAATTTGGCAGAAAAATAGCTGTATTTTTTGCTGTGGAAATGTTGACTTTGAATACATTGGCCATCAACTTTAAAATTGCCGTTAAGTCTGAAAATGTGTGAATCGACAAAGTAAGCAATCTTGCTGTTTTTGCCCAAGTTTGTTCAGGATTTAGAGAGGCTTGATGCGAAAATGCACTGATAAATACTTTTGAAGGCGAGGTTTCGATCAGTGAATTAATTTTGATTTTTAAGACAACGCTAAACCCACTTTTCCTTCCATAAACATATTTTTGTCAATTTCTCAATAATTCTTTTATGCGTCATTGCTTTAAAAATAAAGAGTCGGACCGTAATTCTCTCAAAATGACTAAATATTCTTAATATCTACCTAAATCAATCCACAGATTGGCCAGACTCATTGGCTAAATATGTTTAAATTGCATTTTTCTTATCTTCTGCAGAAGTTTTCCTGCAAAATTTTACTGCAGTGTGAGCTGCGTTTCCTGCAGATTCTATTCACAGACCAATGGGAGACCAGTATTTCTTCATAAACAGGTTTATTCGCCTTCAATTGGTCTAGTGGGTGTTTTTCGCACGCGCAGCTTATGTCACAGCTGCGTAAGAACACGTTCGCTTATAGGGGAGAGTGGGGAAAGATGCCCAGGGTTTTGCTATGTCATGTATTATTCGAAAATGACGATGGGAAAGCAAAAACTTGGAGTTTCAACAGAAGCCGACATCATTTTTCTCCAAACATATCACACTTTCGTGCCTGAAATATTATAACCTTTTTTGCTATTAGGGGAGAGTGGGGCAATGGCGACACCATAAGCATTTTGCTCAATAGCTTAGCTATTTGAAGCTATTTTATGGTGATTTCGACTGTGGTTATAGCCGAAGGAATAGGCTTTCAGATAACACCCAGTTTTAGTAACTCAGATCACTGATGACAGATTCAGAGCCTACGCGAAAATGTGGTGAAAAATGGAGGTGCAAAAAAGCGAGGGGTAATGCCGGCCACTAAGTGCAATAGCACAAAAAGTCGAAATATCGTCACTGGTATTCATCCTCAAACCGTTCTTTCGATGGAAATTTAAGTGAGAATTAAGAAACGACAACTGTATTCAGCAGTTAACATTGCACTGCACTGCACTACAACATTGCACTCGCTGCAACACAACAGCGCGGCGCCAACAGAGCAGCAAACTAACACAACCGTAAACAGCAAGCAAACTAACACAGCCGTAAACACAGCAACCCGAAACGTTGAGCTTTAACGACAGAAGTCGCAAACAAAACCGCGTGGAGTCATTCCGGACACGTGTCCGGTATTAACCCGAGGTCAGCTTTATTTTAAGAAAGCAGGCAGCAGTCAAAGGCATTGCGTCGCAAACGCCTCACATCTATCAGTCGCCTAAGAAAGGCTTAATTGAAGGTCATTGCAAAGCAGCACTTCTGAAAATGCGTTAACACATTTCACAGTCAGCAAATAGATGCAACAAAAATTAAAAATCAGATACGAAAAACACATTTAACGCTATAAAAATGAAAATAATGGAGCTACCGTAACAAACTTGCACCACGTGCTAGAATGGCCCTCAACTGAAATGTAAACAACATCAGCTGATTAGTGATGGACAAAGTACCTACTCACTAGAGATGGGTGGCCGGCATTACCCACCGTCCGCCATTGCCCCGCTCTCCCCTAAGCATTTTCTTGAAGAAGTGAAAGGGGGCATCTTACCCCACAGGGTGGGAAAGACGCCCCCTGACGTTGGGAAAGATGCCCCCTGCACTATAAGTGATATAAATGGGCACGTGAATCGCCTGAACGAATCAGTAGTCCCTTCGAGCCTGCAGTAGACACCAAACGTCATCATAAGGGCCCTCAAAAGTAGTCGTAAGGGGCTTCAGAGGTCATCGTTAGGGCCATCATAGTCCAGCGCGGCCAAACAAGCCTTCGTGGTGGCGTTCGGAGACCACTGTGGGGCTCTTATAGGTCTTCATGATGCTTGAGGGCCCTCGAGCCCATCGTGGGGACCTCCGATGCCAGCGCGGCCCGTGGGGCCAACGTGGGAGCCCTCAAAGGATGTCGTGAGGGGCCCTGGAGCCATAATGGGGCCCACAGAGGCCGTCGTGAGGGCTCTCAGAGTCACATGCCGCCCAAAAAGTCGCTATGTGGGCCGAGAGACCGGCATGGGGAGCACCCGACCGTACTGGACTCTCAATAGTCCCAGGTCGGCTTTTGTCTACATCACAAGTACGTAATAGATTATTTGACGGGCTGTTTGAAGGACAGCCTACGGATTTAGGGGGGGGCGTCTTTCCCCATCAGGACAGGGGGCATCTTACCCCAAGGTACCGAAGTAACATTAAATCAGTACAATTTGTTAGCCATAAAACTACACCCTGAAACAAACTGTTTGGGACACAGTACACGCATGCTAATGTATCACGACTATAGCAAGGGACGCAAAAATTATTTACCTTCTTTGATATTTACAATGTTCTGACACCAAAATATTTTTTGAAAGCAGCAAATAAAAAAACATACAATCATCAGCCAGCCGTTGCCCAACTGAGCTTCGCAATTTTTTGTGCAGTTAACAAGGCAGGATTCCGCTTTACGCTAAGAACATTAATTTCCAGGTCCGATTCTTTGTTTCGCCGCTAGAAGGGGTGGGGCGTCTTTCCCACCCTGGGCATCTTACCCCACTCTCCCCTAAATCATTTTAGGCAGCTCTTTTAGGAACATCAATATCAAAGGGATCAAAATATGTTTCGTCTGATTTGTCGGGGCGAGATTATCGTCGCTAATTAATTATTGGTTATCAGATTTTAATTAGGAATGGTGTAATGCACGCACGGCTGTTGATTTTCATTTTAATTGCCTGAGCTGGTTCCTGAGCCGTCTCAGATAGCAGGGTGTCGTGTGAAGCATCTTGACCTGACAGGAAGGTGGGTACCATGACCCCTAGCTCAATATTAATATCAGATGAAGCCCGTATAAATGTCTTAGAGCTTAAGTTTTAACCCGGCAGGCGGTGGGCCTACCAGCCACCTTCCGCGCGGTGGGGGGGGGCATTTTTTTGCCCCCCCCCGTATCTCCGAAACTACTGGACGGATCCGGAAAATTAAAACGGCGTTCGATAGCCCTGTCAAATTTGACTAGGGAAACCAAATTTCATTGACCTTGGGGTCACCGATGACGTCACAGGTCAGGTCAAAGATAAAATGTTCCACCGTTTACGGGGCTTCTAGGGAAAGCGCTATAACACCGAGTAAAATGCATTTTGTCGAAAATCAGCGATAAGGCGTCAGTTGTCTAGTACATATGTTGCTATTAGAGGTCACTGGTCATACCAGGTCAGGTCACAGGTCAGGTCACCAAAGGTCACCAAGGGTCACCACATGAGCCCAACTTTACTAAGGTTATGCGATGCTTGTTTTATGGCCAGTTTTTCATTTCCAACTCAATGGTGTTGGTTATACGACTATCAGGTACGGTTTAGGTCACTTTCTGGTGGAGGTCAGGTCAAGGTCAGGTCAAAAAAGGTCAAATTTCAAAGTTGATATTTTTGCATAAAATGGGTATCAATTTGATGCAGCTCGTCACGGGGAGTCTAATGGTGGTCTTTGTTTTGCGCTACGAGGTCTAGAATTGCTAAAAATTGAGTTTGAAAATTTGAAGTCATCAATTTTGAACAGTTTTTTTTCGCTACAACTTGGCCAAAAAAAGAGATATCGATCTCAAATTTAGTATGTAGATAGAAGGCGGTAGGGACTATCACATATTTTCCGTTTTTTTTTCGAAATTCAAAAAACTTTTTGGATTTTTCGGCTATTATATTCAAAAAATCTATTATTTGATTTTTGGGGTCAAAATAAAAAAGAATCGAAAAACCGAAATAGCAGTTTTGTAGCCCTTTTAATTCCACACCTTTTATGTCAGAAACATTTTTCTGTATCTCTAAAGCTGTAGGCCTGACAGCTCTTCCCGCGAAACCTTTTTTGGGGTCGAAAAATGGCAAAAATGACGTCACTCTGACGTCATTAGCGGCCAACCTATCATAGCCTTTGCAAAAAATTTTGGTCACCCGGTGCACTAGCTGCTCCCGGGAGGGTACTGAAAGTTTGGTGACGATCAGCGCAGCGGTTCTCGAGATATATTGAAAAAACTAAAGGGGGGGGGGCAAAAAAATGCCCCCCCCACCGCGTGGAAGGTTAAATCACCTACATATAACCTAACATAACCTGAAATAACGAGACAGGCTAGAACCCTAATTTTTGTGCAGATGACAAGATGAGTACCTATTAACTTATTAACCCTTTTCCGGGCGGGGGGCCTTTAAGGCCCCCCCTTCAGGGTTTTCCACAGGGGAGCACTGCCGCTTCAAGTTTCAACCCTATTGGCCGAAGTGTCTA